GCAAGAATACAAATTCCACTTTCTCAGTGAAATTACAATGTTCTTCTACCCTTGACCTCCCTAAGGCCTTTCACCCTTCTCTCTAACTTGTTCCAGAGCACCTTCTGAAACACTACACTAGGACAAGCACGGTGGCTCATGCCTGTAATCCCAACACTTTGGGAGGCTGAGGAAGGACTGCTTGAACCCAGGAGCGCTTTTTGTTTGTTTTTTGAGATGAAGTTTTGCTCTGTGGCCCAGGCTGGAGTGCAGTGGCACGATCTCAGCTCACTGCAACTTCCACCTCCTGGGTTCAAGCAATTCTCCTGCCTCAGCCTCCAGAGTAGCTGGGACTACAGGTGTACACCACCACACCTGGCAAATTGTTGTGTTTTAGTAGAGATGTGGTTTCGCCATGTTGGTCAGGCTGGTCTCAAACTCCTGACCTCAAGTGATCTGCCTGCCTCAGCCTCCCAAAGTGATGGGATTACAGGCGTGAGCCACTGCACCAGGCTGAACCCAGGAGTTTGAGAGCAGCCTGGGAAACAGCAAGACCTCATCTCTACTAAAAATTAAAAACACACACGCACACACACACACACACACACACACACACACACACACACTGTATCTTTTGGCTTATTATGTGCTTTGTTTTTTTTGTTTTTGTTTTGCTTTTGAAATGGAGTCTTGCTCTTGCTGCCCAGGCTGGAGTGCAATGGTGCGATCTCGGCTCACCGCAACCTCCGCCTCCTGGGTTCAGGCAATTCTCCTGCCTCAGCCTCCTGGGTAGCTGGGATTACAGGCACGCGCCACCATGCCCAGCTAATTTTTTTGTATTTTTAGTAGAGACAGGGTTTCACCATGTTGACCAGGATGGTCTCGATCTCTTGACCTCGTGATCCACCCGCCTCGGTCTGCCAAAGTGCTGGGATTACAGGCTTGAGCCACCGCGCCCGGCGACTAAGACATTCTTGAATGAGAATGATGGAAGCTGGGAAGCATGAAAGGAAAGAAAGGGTAGACCTTGACCCAGAGTGACTTGACTCAGGGATTGGAGGTCCTTTCCTTCCTTAATACCAACAGCAGAACTAGTACTTAAGAGCACAAACTCTGGACAAACCCAGCTTCTGATCCTAGCTCAGCTTCACCTGTCTTTTTTCTTCTTCTATTTTTTTTTTTTTTTTTTCTTTTTTTGAGACAGGATCTCACTCTGTCATCCAGGCTGGAGTACAGTGACATAATCATGGCTCACTGCAGCCTGTATCTCCCAGACTCAAATGATCCTCCTACTTCAGCCTCCTGAGTAGCTGAGAACACAAGTACGCACCATCATGCCTGGCTAATTTTTGTTATTACTGTTGTTTTTTGAGATTGAGTCTCACTCTGTTACCCAGGCTAGAGTGCAATGGCACAATCTCAGCTCACTGCAATGTCTGCCTCCCAGGTTCAAGTGATTTTTCTGCCTCAGCCTCCGAAGCAGCTGGGACTACAGGCCCATGCCACCGTGCTCAGCTAATTTTTTTTTTTTTTTTTTGAGACGGAATCTCTCTCTGTCACCCAGGCTGGAGTGCAGTGGCGTGATCTTGGCTCACTGCAACCTCTGCCTCCCCGGTTCAAGTGATTCTCCTGCCTCAGCCTCCCAAGTAACTGGGATTACAGGCAAGTGCTACCATGCCTGGCTAATTTTTGTATTTTTAGTCAAGAAGGGGTTTCACCATGTTGGCCAGGCTGGTCTCAAACTCCTGACCTCAGGTGATCCGCCCGCCTTCGCCACCCAAAGTACTGGGATTACAGGCATGAGCAAATGCACCCAGCCAATTTTTGTATTTTTTATAGAGACAGGATCTTACCATGTTGCCCAGGCTGGTCTCAAACTCCTGGGCTCAAGCAATCCTCCCACCTGGGCCTACCAAAGTGCTAAGATTATAGACGTGAGCCATGGTGCCTGGTTCCGGTCCATCTGATTTCAAAGCACATGCTCTGTCCCCACCCCAGCAGCCTCATTGCCCCAAACCTCACAGGTCAGAAGGGCTGCTGCTGGCCCTACTAGTGACTCCAGAGAGATATGGGGCAGCCTGAGGGACAGCAGGAGGGAGTATTCTCAGATATCCAATGTGGAATTAAGGCATAAGTAACTAAGATAGTCCTTGAGGGACTTGATAAATATTAATCCAAGTGTCTTCACAGCAATCCTGCCGAAAACAAGCAGGGATCACCATCCCCACTTTACAAGAAAGGAAACTGAGGCTGACGGAGGTTCAGCAACTCCTCCAGGATTACTGAGTAAGTGAGAGGCAGCAGGCTGCCTCTGAGACCCATGCTGCTTTCATGGCCTCTGGGTGTTTTCCACATAAATGATTTTACCACCAATCCATTCTGTCCCTTTCCCAACCTTGATGTCTTCATCTGGAAAATAAGGGGGTCATAAAAGATGATCTTCCCAGGGCCCTCTGAGTCTCAACATTACTTGGGTCTCACACAGAAATTGCTTGAAACATAGGCTAGGGGCAAGGAGCAACACGTGCTGCATGTTCATCAAGTGCTAGACACTACACAACCACAGCATCTTTGTTTTTTTAGATAGAGTCTTGCTGTCACCCACACTCCAGTGCAGTGGCGAGATCTTGGCTCACTGCAACCTCCACCTCCTGGGTTCAATCGATTCTCCTGCCTCAGCCTCCTGAGTAGCTGGGATTATAGGTGCTAGCCACCAAGCCCAGATGCTTTTTTGTATTTTTAGTAGAGATAGAGTTTTACCATGTTGGCCAGGCTGGTTTCAAACTCCTGACATGAGTTCTAGACCTCCCAAAGTGCTTACAGGTGTGAGCCACCACACCCAGCCAACCATGGCATCTTTAATCCTCAACAACCCTAAGAGATGCATCCTGTCTGATTACTCCCATTTTACAGATGAGGAACCTAAGGCTTAAAGAGGCCTGAGGTCACCCCACCTAGAAAGTCTAAGTTAGATTTGCTAGTGCCAGGCAAACTCCAGGCTCTTCCCACGATGTGAGCTTGCTCCCTAATTACTGGGCAGTCTGGGTGGGAAGGGGCCCATGCCACTCCTCTTTCCCAGCTGTCCAAAAGCCCCACTGCTCTGTGCTGTAACATCTCAGGCAGGCTCTAACAGAACTCTGCAGCTTCATTCCTGGGTTGCAGGGCAGGAGGGATGCTTGCTTCCTTTTCACAGGTTGGGGGTGGGGGGGACAGGTAGCCTCACTTTTTTTTTTTTTTTTTTTTTTTAGATGGCGTTCACTTTGTCGCCAGGCTGGAGTGCACTGGCTCCATCTGGGCTCACTGCAACCTCCACCTCCCAGGTTCAAGCGATTCTCCTGCCTCAGCCTCCCAAGCAGATGGGACTACAGTTGCACGTTACTAGCACAGCTAAGTTTTTTAGTTGTATTTTTAGTAGAGACGGAGGTTTCACCAAGTTGGCCAGGATGGTCTCCTGACTTCGTGATCCGCCCACCTAGGCCTCCCAAAGTGCTGGGATTACAGGCGTGAGCCACCGCACCTGACCTGGCCTCATTCTTTGACCATACACAGTCCTGAGCCCTCTGAGGGTGGAAAGCTGGGGAAACAGAGAAAAATGAGATCATGGTCGAATGAGAGAGACAGACAAGCACCAAGTCATATATCACTGTGCAGGGAGATACATGGAGAGATGGGGGAAGTACAGGGCTCTGGGGACCAAGGAGCGAGGGGCGGGGAGCTGCCCAGGGCCAGGCAGGGAGGTGAAGCCCTAGCTCAGCCCAGAGCAGGGCCCAAACAAAAGCCCAGACTGAGAGCACATGGCCCAGCCAGCCTCCCCTCCCGGGAGGCTACCAGTTGAGTACAAAGTGCTGGATCTGGGATCTGGGACTGGGTCCCAGATCCGGTGCTGCCACAGCACAGCGGGGAGGGTGACCTTGGACATCTCCCACTCCCTCTCGGAAGTCCGTTTCCCCACCTGTACAGTTTGAGGTTGGGGAGCAAAGGGTCTGTGCAGCCATGGCCCCTGGGGATCCCCCACTGCTCCCCTGCCATTCTCTTGCCCTCAGAACTTCCTGAGGGAGGAGCGGACTCTACCAGAAGCCCCCGGTGGGTGTGAAATTACAGGCTACGCCTGGAAATGGGACACTCAACCCTCCTGTCGTCTGCCCTCCCTCACTCTCCGGGGCACAGTACCTGCCCTTCTCATCATCTTTCATCAGGTCCCATCACAACCCGGTCCCAAACAGAAGAAAGACCCTACTCATCCCTTTCCTAACCTCCCCCATTCTTTGCTCAGACCCCTCCCTAGGCCTTGATCCCGGCCCCGCCTCTAACCCCCAGATTCCCAGCGAGGACTCTCAGCCCCTCCCCCCCGGCCCAGACCCTGGCCCCCGCCCCTGCACCCTCGCCGCGTGCGTCTGTCCCTTCCTGGCCAGGCTCTCACCGCGCCGCAGCTGCAGCCGCAACGTCCCCAGCGCGGGGCCCCGGGCCCCCCAGCAGCCGCCGCGCCGCCACAGAGATGCTGCACAGCCGCGGAGCCATGTTGGAGCCGCGAAGGTTGCAGGAAGGCCCCACCCCCAAACCCGGGTGGCGGAGGCGGAACGCTAATAAACCCCGCCCCTCCGGCTCGCCCGCCCCCCTTGACTCAACCGGTCAGGTGGGCGTGGCCCGTGGGCGTCTCCAACTCCGCAGGTGCTGGAAGTGTGGGTTCTAATCTCTGCGCGCTCTGCGACCTTGGCAAGCCCTTTGCCAACTCTGGGCCTCAGGATCCACCTCGGTAAACTGGAAGCGTGGAACAGTAATACCAAGGGTACTTTTTTTTTTGGTCTGTTTTTCTTTTTGTGGAGAATGGGGTCTCACTATGTTGTCCAGGCTCAAGTCTCGAACTCCTGGGCTAAAACTATCCTCCCTCCTCTGCCTCCCTAAGAGCTGGGATTACAGGCGTGAGCCACAGCGCCCGGCCATACCAAGGGTTGTTACTTAACAGGACTGTCGGGGATGTGCAGCAGAGGGTCAGTATAACAACCCCATGGCTTCATTTTGCCCATTGCCCAGATAGAGTGTATTTATCGAGACGGGAATTGCAATAGAGAGTTTAATTCATGCCGAGCCGGCTGAATGGGAGACCAGAGTTGTATTATTACTCAAATCTGTCTCCCTGAAAATTCAGAGACCAGGTTTTATTAAGGATAATTTGCTGGGTAGGGGGCCAGAGAGTGGAGAGTACTGATTGGGCAGGTTGGAGATGCAATCATAGGGGTTGAAGCTGTTCTCTTGTGCTGCGTGGATCTCGGGGTGGGGGCCAAAGACCAGATGAGCCTGTTTATTAATCTGTGTGTCACCAGCAGATCCGTTGAGTACAGGATCGGAAAAATATCTTGAGCATCAGTCTTAGGTTTTACAGTAGTAATGTTATCCCTAGGAGCAATTGGGGAAGTTTAGAATCCATGGCCTCTACCTGCATGACTCCTAAACCACAATTTCTAATCTTGTGGCTAATTTGTTAGTCTTAGAAAGGCAGTCTGGTCCCCAGGCAAGAAGGGGGTTTATTTTGGGAGAGGGTTGTTATCTTTGTTTCAAAGTTAAACTGTAAATTTGCAGCCGTGGGCAGTGGCTCATGCCTGCAATCCCAGCACTTTGGGAGGCCAGGGCGGATGGATCATTTGAGGTCAGGAGTTCAAGACCAGCCTGGCCAATCTGTGAAACTGTGTCTACTAAACATTCAAAAAAGTAGTTGGGCGTGGTGGCGGGCACCTGTAATCCCTGTTACTTGGAAGGCTGAGGCAGGAGAATCTCTAGAACCCAGGAGGTGGAGGTTGCAGGAAGCCAAGATCACCTCATTGCACTCCAGCCTGGGCAATAAGAGCAAAACTCTCTCAAGAAAAAGAAAATGCCAGGCGCGGTGGCTCAAGCCTGTAATCTCAGCACTTTGGGAGGCCGAGGCGGGTGGATCACGAGGTCGAGAGATCGAGACCATCCTGGTCAACATGGTGAAACCCCGTCTCTACTAAAAATACAAAAAATTAGCTGGGCATGGTGGCGCGTGCCTGTAATCCCAGCTACTCAGGAGGCTGAGGCAGGAGAATTGCCTGAACCCAGGAGGCGGAGGTGGCGGTGAGCCGAGATCGTGCCATTGCACTCCAGCCTGGGTAACAAGAGCAAAACTCAGTCTCAAAAAAAAAAAGAAAAAGAAAATATAAAAATAAAATACAAAATAAAAATATAAAAATTAGCCGGGTGTGGTGGTGCTCAGCTGTAATTTTATCTACTCTGGAGACTGAGGCAGAAGAATCGCTTGAGGCAGAGGTTGCAGTCAGCCGAGATCGTGCCACTGCACTCCAACCTGGGTGAGAGAGAGAGACTCTGTCTCAAAAAAAAAAAAAAAAAAAAAAATCAAAGTCAGCATGATCTTAGCAGAGTCTCCAGCCAGAGCCATTCAGGAAAAACCCAGGTGGGTTGATGGAGGCCCAGCAAATGATGTCACACGGTGGGAGCAGCTCTTTCCTTAGGAACCCAGTGTGACAGACTAACTGGGGAGTGGTGGAAGTGACCACTTCCGCCAGCCTGACTTTGGACCTGAGCTTCAAAAGATGAGCAGGAGTCTGCCAGGAGAGACGGAAGGACCAGGGAAACCTCCGAGGAAGCAATGTGTGCACATATGTGAAGGGGCTGCCAGAGGCGGGGCACAGTGGCTCATACCTGTCATCCCAGCACTTTGGGAGGGTGAGACAGGCAGATCACTTGAGGCCAAGAGTTTGAGACCAGTGTGGCCAACATGGCAAAACTCCATCTCAACTAAGAATACAAAAAATGAGCCAGGCATGGTGGTACCCATCTGTGGGCCCAGCTACTTGAAAGGCTGAGGTATGAGAACTGTATGAACCCAGGAGGCAGAGGTTGCAGTGAGTGGAGATTGCACCATTGCACTCCAGCCTGGGCGACAGCAAGACTCTGTCTAAAAAAAAAAAAGAAAAGAAAAGAAAAAAAAAAGGTGGGGGCAGTGAGGGCTCTTCCTGGAAGAAAGCACAGTTGAATATAATGAAAGGGTGGAGATTGGGTGGTGGCAGCCTCTCGTTCAGTACAAGGAATAATTTTTTTTTCTTTGAGATACAGTCTTACTCTGCCACCCAGGCTGGAATGCACTGGCGTGATCTCAGCTCACCGCAACCTCCACCTCCTAGCTCAAGGGATTCTCCTACCTCAGCCTCCTGAGTAGCTGGGATTACAGGCTTGTGTTACCACGCCCAGCTAATTTTTGTATTTTTAGTAGAGATGGGGTTTCGCCATATTGGCCAGGCTGGATTTGAACTCCTGACCTCAAATGATCCACTAGCCTCAGCCTCCCAAAGTGCTGAGATTATAGGCCTGAGCCACCATGCCCAGCTGGAATAATTTTCTAACCATGGAATGGGCTGCTCTGATGACATGTCATTGAGTTGTGTCAACAGAGGCTGAGTAGCAGCACCTTGGCCATGTGGTAGAGGGCAGTTGGCAGTCAGGCTGCAGGAAACCAGACCCATGGACAGGGAGGAGCCGGCCTTGCTGGTTTAGGGTGAGAGGCTGTCACCAAATCCTCAGCGTTCCTGGCTGCCTCACCCTCTCTGAGGTGAGGAGAATGGGAGAGAACTGGCCTACAGTCTTCTCCTGTGGGTCTTAGCATTTCCAGGAAGAGGTTTCCATCTCTCTCCATCCAAACAGGGCAGGAGGGTGAAAAAAGGTGGTGCTGGGAGCAGGCTTCCACCCCTGACTGGGAGAGATGGGAGACGGGCCTCCCTCCCCATCCCATTTGAACTGCAGTGCAGCAGCTGACTAGAAGGGCAAGCTCAAGGCCGCTATTCCCACCCCAGCTAGGGTGACCACATATCCCAGTTTATCCTGGACTTTCTCAGTTTTGGCACAGAAAGTCCTCCCTCCTAGAAAACCCCTCAGTCCTGGAGAAACCAGAAGGTTTGGTCATCCCAATGGGTGACCCCAGTGGTACATGTTCTCTCCCCAGGACGTGTACTCACTCTGTCCCATAATCTTTTCCTTGCTTAACTAAATCTATTTACTCTGCTTGAAAGGGAACAGGGGGCTGGGCGCGGTAGCTCATGCCCATAATCTCAGCACTTTGGGAGGCTGAGGTGGGTGGGTCACCTGAGGTCAGGAGTTGAGGATGAGCCTGGCCAATATGGTGAAACTCATGTCTACAAAAAATACAAAAATTAGCCAGGCGTGGTGGCAGGTGCCTGTGGTCCCAGCCACTCTGGAGGCTAAGGCAGGAGAATTGCTTGAACCTGGGAGGCAGAGTTGCAGTGAGCCGAGATCACCTCACTGCACTGCAGCCTGGGTAACAGAGCAAGGAAAGGAAAGGGAGGGAGGGAAGGAAGGGATGGGAGGGAAGGAAGGGAAGGAAACAAACAAGGATGGGGTCCAAGCTCGGTGGCTCACACCTGTAATCCTAGCACACTGGGAGGCCCAAGTAGGAGGATTTACTTGAGGCCAGGATTTCAAGACCAACCTGGGCTACATAGTCAGACGCCCATCTCTACGAAAAATTAGAAAATGAACTGAGCATGGTAGTGTGTGCCTATAGTCCCAGCTATTCAGAAGGCTGAGGTGGGAGGATGCCTACAGCCCAGGAGGCAGAGGTTGCAGTAAGCCAACATTGCGCTACTGCACTCCAGCTTGGGTGACAGAGCCAGACCGTCTCAAAAAAAAAAAAAAAAAAAAATCCACCAATAAAAAGTGGCTGGGCGCCGGGCACGCTGGCTCAAGCCTGTAATCCCAGCACTTTCAGAGGCCGAGGCGGGTGGATCACGAGGTCGAGAGATCGAGACCATCCTGGTCAACATGGTGAAACCCCGTCTCTACTAAAAATACAAAACATTAGCTGGGCATGGTGGCACGTGCCTGGAATCCCAGCTACTCAGGAGGCTGAGGCAGGAGAATTGCCTGAACCCAGGAGGCGGAGGTTGCGGTGAGCCAAGATCGCGCCATTGCACTCCAGCCTGGGTAACAAGAGCGAAACTCCGTCTCAAAAAAAAAAAAAAAAAAAGTGGCTGGGCACAGTAGCTCACACCCATAATCCCAGCACTTTGGGAAGCTGAGGCAGGAGGATCACTTGAATTCAAGACCAGCCTCGGTAACATAAGAGAGACCCCATCTCTACAAAAATTTTTTTTTTTTTTTTTTTTTTTTTTTGAGACGGAGTTTTGCTCTTGTTACCCAGGCTGGAGTGCAATGGCGCCATCTCGGCTCACCGCAACCTCCGCCTCCTGGGTTCAGGCAATTCTCCTGCCTCAGCCTCCTGAGTAGCTGGGATTACAGGCACGCGCCACCATGCCCAGCTAATTTTTGGTATTTTTAGTAGAGACGGGGTTTCACCCTGTTGACCAGGTTGGTCTCGATCTCTCGACCTTGTGATCCACCCGCCTCGGACTCCCAAAGTGCTGGGATTACAGGCTTGAGCCACCGCGCCCGGCCTTAAAATATTTAAAATAATAGTCCCAGCTACTCGGGAGGCTGAGGACAGAGGACTGCCTAAGCCCAAGAAGGCAAGGCTTCAGTGAGCCATGATCGTGCCACTGTACTCCAGCATGGGCGACAGAGTGAGACCTTGTCTCAAAAAAAAAAAAAAAAAAAATTGGCCTGATGTGGTGGCTCATGCCTGTAATTCCAGCACTTTGGGAGGCCAAGGCGGGCAGATCACCTGAGGTCAGGAGTTTGAGACCATCCTGCCCAACATGGTGAAACACCAACTCTACTAAAAATACAAAAATTAGCCAGGCATGGTGGTGGATATCTGTAATCCCAGCTACTTGGGAGGCTGAGGCAGGAAAATTGCTTGAACCTGGAAGGCAGAGGTTTCAGTGAGCCGAGATCCCACCATTGCACTCCAGCCTAGGTGGCAGAGCAAGACTCCATCTTGAAAAAAAATTCCACAAATAGGATTTAGACAAATTCCAATTAGTGTGGAATAAATTACCCCAAATCTTAGCAGCTTGAAACAATCACCATTTATGATCTCACATAGTTGCTGAGGGTCAGGAATTCTGGAGTGGGTGGTTAGCTGGGGTGGTTCTGGCTCAGGGGGTCTCATAAGGCTGTAATCAAGATACTGGCTTGGATTATGGTCATCTGACCAAGGCTAGAGAATCCCCTTCTAAGGTTAGCTGTTCACATACCTGGCAAATCAGTGCTGGTGGCTGGCAGGAGACCTCAGTTCCCTGCCACACAGGCTTCTCCAGAGGGCTGCTTGAGTGTCCTCACCATATGACTTCTGGCTGCCCCTAGAGTGAGTGATCCCAGAAAGACTAAGGTGAAACCTTCAAGAACTTTAGTGATCTGGCCTTGGAAGTCATACTGTCAATTTTGTACATCCCATTGGTTGGACATGCAGCCCTCCTCAGCAGGAGTCAGGGTCTTGTTCTGTTGCCCAGGCTGGAGTGCAGTGGCACAATCATAGCTCACTGAAGTCTTCAACTCCTGGGCTCAAGCAGTCCTTCTGATTCAGCCTCCTAAGTAGCTAGGACTGCAGGCATGTGCCATCCATGCTCAGAATGTAAATATCAACACGTGAGCAGGGCTGCATGTCTAACCAATGGGTATAAATATCAACATGTGCCGGGCGCGGTGGCTCACGCCTGTAATCCCAAAACTTTGGGAGGCCGAGGCAGGTGGATCACAAGGTCAAGAGATCGAGACCATCCTGGTCAACATGGTGAAACCTCATCTCTACTAAAAATACAAAACATTAGCTGGGCATGGTGGCGCGTGCCTGTAATCCCAGCTACTCAGGAGGCTGAGGCAGGAGAATCACCTGAACCCAGGAGGCGGAGGTTGCGGTGAGCCGAGACCGCACCATTGCACTCCAGCCTGGGTAACAAGAGTGAAATTCCGTCTCAAAAAAAAAAAAAAAAAAGGCCGGGCGCGGTGGCTCAAGCCTGTAATCCCAGCACTTTGGGAGGCCGAGGCGGGTGGATCACGAGGTCAAGAGATCAAGACCATCCTGGTCAACGTGGTGAAACCCCGTCTCTACTAAAAATACAAAAAAATTAGCTGGGCATGGTGGCTCGTGCCTGTAATCCCAGCTACTCAGGAGGCTGAGACAGGAGAATTGCCTGAACCCAGGGGGCGGAGGTTGCGGTGAGCCGAGATCGCTCCATTGCACTCCAGCCTGGGTAACAAGAGCAAAACTCCGTCTCAAAAAAAAAAAAAAAAAAAAAAAAAAATCAACATGCGAGAGTCACATGAGCCATCCTGGAGGCTGGATAGCACAATTAGCTTTTTACTAGGCCCAATTTTATTAGGGTTGGACTCAGTTCTTCTAGCTGTCTTCTACAAGAAGGCCTCCCACTGTCCTCTGTCCTAGGATCTCTCTCTCTCTGAAGTTCCTTTCTGCCCACCACTATGTCTGTGACATCTCTTTCTCCTGAACATGTCTCCTACCCGCCCCTCCTGCAAGGAGCTGACCCCTCCTCTCCTGCCCTCCTCCCTTCCCAAAGCTGCCCTCACTGAATCTACCTTTATAACTCTTTGCCAAGGTTTGTTGTCCAATCTGCAAAATGAAATGAGAGAAGCCAGAGACAAAGACAGATGGGCAGAGCCGGGCGGAGAGGAACAGGCAGGTTCATAAGTGTAAAATATCGACAAACCTGCCATCATCCATTCCCAGGGACAAATAGATCATCACCAAATGGGCTACAGACGAGCAAAGAGACAAATTACCCAGCTGTGGCAGTCTCACCTGCTCCTTATTGATGGGCTTTTATGCTCAGACCCAACTGCTCTCTGAGAACTGTATTCTTCAGCTCCTATGGGACCCCAAAAAGGAGGGAAAGGGAAAATAAGGCTTTTTTTTTTTCTCTTGAGACAAAGTTTTGCTCTTGTTGCCCAACCTGGAGTGTAATGGTGCAATATCAGCTCACTGCAACCTCCACCTCCTGTGTTCAAGCAATTCTCCTGCGCATGCCACCACGCCTGGCTAATTTTCTGTGATTTTAGTAGAAAGGGGGTTTCACCATGCTAGCCAGGCTGGCCTTGAACTCCTGTCCTTAGGTGATCTGCCTGCTTCGGCCTCTCAAAGTGCTGAGATCACAGGAGTGAGCTACCGCGCCCAGCAAGGAAGCTTTTATGTCTCACTTGGGGCAAAAGCCACAAAGCCAAGTCCCAGCCTTTCTGGACTATGCACCATATGCAGATATGAATGATATGCCTTTGACACAGTGCCACATAAAAACATTAACAAGCCAGGCACAGTGGCTAATGCCTATAATCTTTGGGAGGCTGAGGTGGGCAGATCATGAGGTCAGGAGTTTGAGACCAGCCTGGCCAACAGGTGAAACCCGTCTCTGCTAAAAATACAAGAATTAGCCAGATGTGATGGCTCACACCTGTTATCCCAGCTACTCAGGAGGCTGGGGCAGGAGAATCACTTGAACCTGGGTGGTGGAGGTTGCAGTGAGCCGAGATCATGCCACTGCACTCCAGCCTGGGCAACAGAGGGAGACTCCCTCTCAAAAAAAATTTAACAAAGTGCCACTCTGCATATAGACTATAAATGATACAAATGCTAGGGGGAAAAATTAACTCTTTAAGTATGGAAAAATTTCAAAGCTGGAGTGGTTTATAAACTGTTTATGTTACTGCCACAAGGTGGCGCCACTTTAGCAAGAAAGCAAATGCCCACATCCTGTCATTACTGAGCAAACCACACGGTTGTTAACGTGCTTGGGACACTAGCAATTGCTTTTTGTGCTGCTATTTGGCCAGGCACTGTTATTATAAACCACTTTAAAAGGCTATAACAACATTATTCAAGCATTCCTGAAAGACAGAGGCTAGTGCTGAAAAGCACGTCCTCAAAACAATACCTTTGGAGTGGATACTGGACATGATGAGACACCGTGAAGAAGACCGAAACACCTCCATGACAGATGGTGCTGTCAATTTAGAAGACTGCCTGCAGGTACAGATAATGCTGCAAAAATACAAAGCAGGATCAAAAGCAAAAATGTGGTCAGATGGTTGTGCAGATTTATGAGCTTTGTGAATGCATTTCATCTCCTACTCATATTCTTGGAACACAAAGTTTTCAATCATGTGGAATTTACAGTAGGCATCCTTCTTGTAAAATATGACATTCGAATTAGGGAGGTTGGCCAGGCGTGGTGCTCACTCCTGTGATCCCAGCACTTTGGGAGGCTGAAGTGGGCAGATCACCTGAGGTCAGGAGTTCGAGACCAGCCTGGACAACATGGTGAAACCCTGTCTCTACTAAAAACACAAAAATTACCCGGGTGTGGTGGTACATGCCTGTAATACCGGCTACTCAGAAGGCTGAGGCAGGAGAAGTGCTTGAACCTGGGAGGTGGAGGTTGCGGTGAGCCCAGATTGAGCCACTGCACTCCAGCCTGGGTGACAGAGTGAGACTCTACATGCCTTGGTCTCCAAAAGCACTGTGATTACAGGTGTAAGCCACTGTGCCCAGCCTGTGAATGGCACTTTTAATACCAGCATAATATTCTATCATATCTGTTTTTATTCTTGGCCCTTCCTGACCTCCCTTCTGAGAGTCAAACCCGAATACCTAGCGGGACGTCCTCCCAGGAACATTAAATTTGGCATTTGGGGCCAAATTAGCCAAGTGCCTAGCACCTGGTAAGTCCATAAAAATGAGCTATTACCGAACATGAGTGTCACTTTTTAGTCCCTGCTATCTGATCCACCTCCGTTTGCTACTCCTCATTGCATTCCCAGTGTCACTTACTTTCTGTTAGCAGCCTTGGCCCTGGGTTTATGGCCTGATTTGTTGTCCTTGTGGGGATCCCAGAAAAACCCAACACAGCTCTCCCACCTGCAGGGAAGAACTGAAGCAGCAGTAATGAAGAGATTCCCATGCCAAGCCCATTCTGCCCTAAACAATCAGTTTTGGTGGGAAGAATTTGCTAGCAGAAGGCAGAACATAAAGTTCTCACAGCAGCCTCATTGGGTGTGCCAGCAAACCTGGCCAGTGCTTCCTGGCACTGCAGGGGTCTGTGCAGAAAAGGTAGATTTATACCATTAATATACCGTTACAGTAACAATGTCTGCTGAGTGCTCTAGAACTGTAATTCATATTTCCTGAGGCTGTAGTAGGCAGAATTTGGAAGCAGGGCAGCACAGTGCTAACTAGCAGGCTTTGGCTGGGACAGACCTCAGTTTGAGTCCTAACATTGCCTTTCACTCTCTCTGTTATAGCCAGCGAGTGGCTCTATCACATCTCTCAGTATCTTCACCTGTGGAGTTGGGTGGGCAGGGGTGACGCTAACGCCAGCTAACATTTATGAAGTGCTTAATGTTCAGTTAAAATACAGTAGACCAGGCACAGTGGCTCACGCCTGTAACCCTAGCACTTTGGGAGGCCATGGCATGCAGATCGCCTGAGGTCAGGAGTTCAAGACCAGCCTGACCAACGTGGTGAAACCTTGTCTCTACCAAAAATACAAAAATTAGCTGAGTGCGGTGGCAGGTGCCTGTAATTCCAGCTACTTGGGAGCCTGAGGCAGGAGAATCACTTGAACCCAGGAGGCCGAGGTTGCAGTGAGTTGAGACCGAACCATTGCACTCCGGCCAGGGCAACAAGGGTGAAACTCTGTCTCAAAACAACAACAACAAAAAAACACAGTAAATTGTCTCTATTGGACTACTAAGAGCTATTTTAAAATAGAATTTGTTAGTTATCTACATACAGAAAGGTGTAATTCTCCCGTTATAACCCTTGATGACACTAAATAAATAATACATGAATGTGGTTCAAAAATGGGCATCATAAGAGTATAAAATGAAGAATGCTTTCATTTTCCACCCAAATATTGCAATTTCATAGGATGCCAGGCTCCGTTCCAAAGCCTTATGTTTATTCAATGTGCTGAAATTCAGCAACCTCACGAGGTAGGTACAACCATTAATAATATTAATTCCAGGCCGGGCATAGTGACTCACGCCTGTAATCCCAGCACTCTGGGAAGCCGAGGCGGGCAGATCACCTGAGGTCCAGAGTTCGAGACCAGCCTGACCAACATGGAAAAACGCTGTCTCTACTAAAAATACAAAATTACCCGGGCATGGTGGTGCATGCCATCTAATCCCAGCTACTTGGGAGGCTGAGGCAGGAGAATCACTCGAACGTGGGAGAAGGTTGCGATGAGCCAATATCGCGCCACTGCACTCCAGCCTGGACGACAAGAGCGAAACTCCGTCTCAAAATCATCATCATCGTCATTCTAAAGGGAAGCTGAGGGATCTGGCGGAAAAGTGCCAGCAACCTAACAGGCCTCCACAACTGTCTTGAAAGACTGAGAAGCGTAGAGATCGGTATAATGTTGATTAACTGCCAAACCAGAATACGGGTGTCCGAAACGGGATCCCCTGGGGCGCCACAATCGAAGCCTACTTGAATTGAAAGAGAGTCCTTCCCTTGGCTAAGGAAGGACCCAACTCCCGGGCCCCGGATCCAGCCTCTACGTAGTTTCTCAGGAAAGGCGCGCGGAGGTCCGCTGCCTCAACCAGTCTTGCTAGAGTAGGCACAAAAGCGTTCCGAGTGACTGCCACTGTAGCCACTCAACGCCTAGCCCAGGCCTGCTTTTGGCAGTTAGACTGAAACTTTCCATTGGTGGAGTCACCTCAAAGGAGGCGGGACGGTGCGGGAAAATCCTGCCTACCTTGGCCTTCTCAGCCAATCGCAGCGTCCAGTTTGGTTGCGCTGCGCGTAGTGGTCTGGGATACGTGAGGGCGGGGCCGGGAGCAGGCCCCGGGCGGTGGGGAGGGTGCGCTTCCCGCGGGCGCGCGGAGTGACGACGGTGACAGCCACGCGCGCGCTTACGCGCCCGAGTGCCGCGCGGCCCCGCAACCCCAGTCGGCCACTGAGAGGCGCGCGGAGTCTGGGCCGCTGCGGTCTAGGGTTCCAGTCCCGAGGCGTTCCCGGCATCTTTGGCCCCAATCCCGGAGTGCCAGGTCGCGCCTGCACGGACCATCTCGGCTCCCTTGCCCTCCCTGCCGCCGTCAGGGCCCGCCCCCCAACTCCCCTTTCCGCCTGGGCAGGGTCCTCGCGGCCCATGCTGGCCGCTGGGGTCCCACGCAGCCCAGACCGTTCCCGGGCCGGCCAGCCGGCCACCATGGTGGCCCTGAGGCCTGTGCAGCAACTCCAGGGGGGCTAAAAGGCTCAGAGTACAGGCCTTGGGGCGCGAGGGTCCCGGGCTTGAGCCCCGCGCCATGGCCGGGGCCATCGCTTCCCGCATGAGCTTCAGCTCTCTCAAGAGGAAGCAACCCAAGACGTTCACCGTGCGGATCGTCACCATGGACGCCGAGATGGAGTTCAATTGCGAGGTAACCGGCCGGCAGTCCCGACTGCCGCGGTGACAGTCGAGGTGGAAGCTCGAGAGGTTCTGTTTATATCATCTTACGGGTGTAGGTGGAGACGGGCAGAACCGGAAGGGGCCAACTAGGCCCCAAACCTCGTGTTAAAGATGATTGCTGCTTTTTTTCATAGGGCTTTTGGGTTTTAGCATTTCCTGAAGGCTATTTTCATTCATTGTTATTGGAAGAAGCTGGATGCTTCTGTGATAGCAAATTCAATGTGAGGTTTAAGTTAGGCTTACGCTTAAACGCTTGAAAATTTATTACTTTATTATGTAATATTGTTATGTTCCCAGGTATTAAAAGTTGCCTCTTGTTTATTGGAAAGCCTATACTCCGTTTCCCTTTTCCAAAGCTTACATGTTCTGGAAAAAAAAAACCCTTTGAGGAACAAGATAATATACTTACTTTCTACATAGTTTCCAACATGATGATAACAGCTATCAGTTGTTCAGTATTTTCAAAGTGCCAGACATTTGCACATTTAATCAATCCTCAGATCAACACATTTATCCAGTAAATGGCAAGGTGGGGTTTTGAACCAAGCTCACTGCCAGTACAGTACTGCTTCTCAAGTAATTTAAGTTCTTGCTACTAAAAGTGTGGTTTCTGGACCAACAGCATTGGCAGCAGTAAGCAAGGGTTGGCATGTTTTTTCTGTACAGGACCACATAGTAAATATTTTCAACTTTGTAGGCTAGAGAATCTCTGTTGGAGCTATTCAACTCTACAATTGTTACACAAAAGCAGCCTTAGATAAGATCAGCTTCTAGCATAACAGCTTAAGGAACCCATTCCTCTGTAAAACTAGTGAAAAATCTTTTTTATTTTATTTTGTTTTGAGACAGTCTCACTGTCACCCAGGCTGGTGTGCAGTAGCGTCATCACAGCTCACTGAAACCTCAGCCGATCTCCCTGGCTTAATCGGTCCTCCTGCCTCAGCCTCTTGTGCCTCCACACCTGGTTAATTTTTTTTTTTTTTTTTTTTTTTTTTTTTTTTTTTTTTTTTTTTTTTGAGAGGGAGTCTTGCTCTGTCACCCAGTCTGGAGTACAACTGTGGCATCTCAACCTCCACCTCCCAGGTTCAAGCGATTCTCCTGCCTCAGCCTCCCAAGTAGCTGGGATTACAGGTGTGTGCCACCACACTGGGCTAATTTTTGTATTTTTAGTAGAGATGGGGTTTTGCTATGTTGGCCAAACTGGTCTCGAACGCCTGACCTCGTGATCTGCCCAACAGGGCCTCCTAAAGTGATGGGATTATGGGCGTAAGCCAACGCACCCAGCCTCATCTAGCTAATTTTTGTGTTTTTTTGTAGAGACAGGGTTTTGCCATGTTGCCCAGGCTGATCTTGAACTTCTGAGCTGAAGCCAACTGCTCACCTTGGCCTCCCAAAGTGGTAGGATTACAGATGGGAGCCACCAGGCCTGACCCAAAAATTCTTTTTAAAAATCAACCATTTAAACCCTCTGGCAATGGTCCTGAGGGCAAACAACAAATGAAGAAATACCTATTTAAGAAAATCTGGTTGGGCGTGGTGGCTCACGCCTGTAATCCAAGCACTTTGGAGGCCAAGGCGGGCAGATCACGTGAGGTCGGGAGTTCAAGACCAGCCCGATCAACATGGTGAAACCCCTGTCTTGAGGGGAAAAAAAAAGAAAAGAAAAAAAAAAAAAAAGAAAATCTACAAATTCAGTAAGAAAGATGAGAGGCTATGGTATGAACTAAGATCATTCCCTCCTCACCCACTCTTAGCTTAGTGAGTAGAGCTTCTACTCCAGACTACTGCAGACTAACACAGGGCACCGCTCCCTCAGCCCCCAATCAGATGCTTTCTTCCCAGGAAAAGCAGGATATCAGCATTTCTCATCCTACCCAGAGCTACTTGTTGCTGAGGTTAAAACCTGATTGAGTGCAACTGAAAGTTGGAGCTCCCTTCTTCCACCTAGTCACTACTTGTGGAACAGGACTGTACCTTGGGCATGGCATACTGAAATTACTGGGGCCCCAATTGCTCATGCCCTAGTTCTGGCAAGCTATGACCTCAGGTTATTTATTTATTATTATTATTATTTTTGAGACGGAATCTCCCTCTGTTGGTCAGGCTGGAGTGCAAAGGCATGATCTTGGCCCACTCCAATCTCTACCTCCTGGGATCAAGCGATTCTCCTGCCTCAGCCTCCGGAGTAGTTGGGATTATAGGTGCGTGCCACCATGCCTGGCTAATTTTTGTATTTTTAGTAGAGATAGGGTTTCACCATGTTGGCCAGGTTAGTCTCGAACTCCTGACCTCAGGTGATCTGTCCACCTCAGCCTCCCAAAGTGCTGGGATGACAGGCATGAGCCACCGCTCCCAGCGGAGACCTCAGGTTATTGCGGTCCCCCTGCCTCCTTCCACCAAGTGCCGAGTTCCTCGGGTGAGGGTGTGTCTCAGAGAGAAGCTTTCCACAGTCCTTACACGCAGCTCCAGAGCCTTGGCTCTCAGATTTTGCCTGAGGAGAGAAGCAGGACTTAAAACAGATAGCTCCTAATCTCTTTTCAATGGAAGTGACTTCATTTGCAACACAGTGTGGAGAAATTCATGCCTAAGGGCAATCTGGAGATGGGAAGGTTTTGGTAAGAGGCACTTGGGAGATCTGTGGTCTTGGAGATGCAGCAGAGGTTTGCTGGGAAGAACTGGGGAATAAGACAGCTGGGAGAAGCCCTTCCAGGATCAGAAGGATCAAATATTGACCACAGGCCAGGTGTGGTGGTTCAAGCCTGTAATCCCAGCACTTTGGGAAGCCGAGGCGGGCAGATCATTTGAGGTCAGGAGTTTGAGACCAGCCTAGCCAACATGGTGAAACCCCATCTCTACTAGAAATACAAAAATTAGTCGGGCATGGTGGCACATGCCTGTAATCCTAGCTACTTGGGAGGCTGAGGCAGGCACGTGAACCCGGGAGGTGGAAATTGCAGTGAGGTGAGATCATGCCACTGTACTCCAGCCTGGGTGACAGAGTAGAACTCTGTCCTGTCACACACACACACACACAAACCAAAACACTGACCACAAACCTCTAAGGTGATAGATGTTTCATCTTCCCTGGTTCTATCATTATACATTGCATATTCATGCATCAAAATACCACGGATACCCCCGACATATGTACAACTATTATGAATCAATAAAAAACAATTTGAAAAGTAAAGTATGTGGTAGAGGTAGAAAAAAACGCTTTCCTCCAAACAGCCACAATTTGATTGTATGGGTTTATAGAGCAAGAGCAAGTTATGCTTCAGTGCGTTGTTGAAAATGATAGAACAATAAGCCACAATTAGTGGAACTTCATAGCTGAGTGTGGTCAAGGAGAGAAAAGAAGAGAACCCTACCAAAACCACTGTCATCCCAGGGTGAGTATGGGCATACCCAAAGTTGCACCTCCCTGAGGAGCAGTATCATAGGCCTTAACACTCTTCAGGAGAAATAGATTTCACGCAAATAATCCAGCCAGGCACTAAACAAATAAATAACAATTAGCCCTGGAGAGGGGTACCAGTCCCCAGACTTGCTACAGTATATTATCTAAAATGTCCAGTTTCCAACAAAAAATTATGAGACATACAAAGAAACAGGAAAATATGATACATACACTGGGAAAAAGCTGGCAACAGAAATTGCCTGTGAGACAAGGGGCCAGATTTAATTAAAAAAAGATATCAAACTAGCCATTATATATGTATATATTCACAGTATTAAAGGAAAGTATGATGACAAAGAAGTAAAGGAAGGCATGATATTGTTGAATCAATTAAAGAATATCAATAAAGATATAGGAATTATAAAAAATGAATCAAATGAAAATTCTGGAGTTGAAAGTACAATAACAAATTTAAAAATTAACTGGAGGGCGGGGTGCAGTGGCTCACGCCTGTAATCCCAGCACTCACAAGGTCAAGAGATTAAGACCATCCTGGCCAATATGGTGAAACCCCGTCTCTACTCAAAATACAAAAGTTAGCCGGGCGTCGTGGCACGCGCCTGTAGTCCCAGCTACTCAGGAGGCTGAGGCGGAAGAATTACTTGAACCCGGGAGGCGGAGGTTGCAGTGAGCCGAGATTGCGCCACTGCATTCCAGCCTGGCGCCTGGCGACAGAGCGAGACTCTGTCTCAAAGAAAAAAAAATTAACTAGAGGGACTCAATAATAGATTTGAACTGAGTGAAGAAAGAATTAGTGAATTTGAAAATAGATTGATAGGGCGGGCACGGTGGCTTACGCCTAATTATATAGGTCAGGAATTCAAGCCTAGTTTGACTAACATGGTGAAACCCCATCTCTACTAAAAATACAAAAATTAGCCAGGCAAGGTGGCATGCACCTGTAATCCCAGCACTTTGGGAGGCCAGTAAGGCAGATCGTGAGGTCAGGAGATCCAGACCATCCTCATTAAGACCGTGAAACCCCATCTCTACTAAAAAACACAAAAAATTAGGCCGGGCACGGTGGCTCAAGCCTGTAATCCCAGCACTTTGGGAGGCCGAGGCGGGTGGATCACGAGATCAAGAGATCGAGACCATCCTGGTCAACATGGTGAAACCCCGTCTCTACTAAAAATACAAAAATTAGCTGGGCATGGTGGCGCGTGCCTGTAATCCCAGCTACTCTAGAGGCTGAGGCAGGAGAATTGCCTGAACCCAGGAGGCGGAGGTTGCGGTGAGCCGAGATCGCGCCATTGCACTCCAGCCTGGGTTACAAGAGCGAAACTCCGTCTCAAAAAAAAAAAAAAAGAAACACAAAAAATTAGCTGGGCGTGGTAGCGTGCGCATATAGTCCCAGGTACTCAGGAGAATCGCTTGAACCTGGGAGGCGGAGGGTCCAGTGAGGCAAGACCACGCCACCGTACTCCAGCCTGGGTGACAGATCGACACTCTGTCTCAAAAAAAAAAAAAAAAAAAAAGACAGTATGCGTATTTTTCTCCTTCTCTTAACT